TATACAATTCGGTAGAAAGCATGAGTAATGTCGAAGAGAACAAATAATAAGACAAAAGAACAAAAAAGGATAGAAGTCGAACTGGAAAAGGATTACATCGAGGAGTGATTAAGGATTGGATTTCCAGAAGAAACATGAGAATTCACCTCAGTCAGTTGAGAAGAAGTTTTATCGGATAAATTCTTGTGGATACAGTGCAATTACTCTGACTACGATAACGAGGGCCAATAAATATTTATCGATCGATACAGCACTGCACAGACAATTGAGTATTGACATCCATTGTTCAAGCGTTGTTAAAGAGTTATAACGCGTATAACATTTTCAATTATTCAGACATGTACATTGCTGCTTTGAAGGGTGCGAATATTTAATAATCGAATAGGGCTATAGAATCGGCATGTCCGGCAGTTGCTACTTACAAAGAGATTTTCAAAATCCTAAAAAAATGTAAATTACCTATAAATTCTTACAACACTATAATATATCTATTTGATACAATTTAATAAGGGTCGCTAACATTTATCTCGCAATATTATATTATACAGGTAGGTCAAGTACTGTGATATCTGATGTGCTAGAAAAATACTAAAATTTTATGTTATACTTCATACCGAGCTCTGCATTTTTATGTGTATTTTGTATTCGAGTGGATAGATCCGAACGAATGAGCCTCCGTTCTAATCGAAACTTAAGACGAAAAGCCATCATTTTAATCTCGAATGATCAATAAATAACTTCATGTTTTTTCGCCTGATATATTTCGTTATTGGAATTTTATAATTTTATCTTTTCCCTGATACAAAATGAAGAGATTTTATTAACGTCATTCGATATACTATTCCGATGATTTACTCTGAAAGTATTTTCGTTAATACCTTTTTAGTGCCGCGTTTCTCCGCTAAATTACACCGGAGCTTTTGGAAAATATTCTATTGAATATCGGGAAATGCATCTTGCTTCGACATAATAGTGAGCAGCGCATGTCTTCAAAATTGCCGGTACTGTATTGGATATCAGTTTTATTCGGGCGGCATGGAAATGTGTGGCCAAACTCTTTCCCGGATATCATTGTATTAAATTTGGATCTATGATGTAACCTAAAATATATCGATTACCACCAAAAACTTACAATACGCGAGCATGTGTAGCAAAGAGTTACCGCGGTTCGCGCATGGATTACGTTCTAAGCGAATAATTCATAGCATCATTTATTGAGTCTATTAAATGTGTCGATCACTTAGGATTTTATTACTTTTGTTTGGCCAGTTAGTATGTAATTACAATTCATTACTTCAGCAAATTAACATTTGATTACAATTCATCGTATCAGTTGCAACTGATACAAAGCTAATAAGATATTTTCATGAATAAATAATGTGTCATTAACTGAAAACAGAACACTGCATTGCCAATTGAAGTCTGTTTATTGAATTCAGATTCCGAAGTACTAAGGTGACGTTAGATTATTATCATGCTACTCTAGCGTATATAGTATATATTTGTTCCAAATACGATTCAAATTATAATTTGCACGTCAATTTATTCTAAATAGAAACGTTTTCAATAAATGCAAATTCACCTTTAATTGTGCAGGCAGTGGCGAAATTCCTACACGTGTTTGTCGCTAAAATTATTATCCCATCAAGTAACAGCTTTCTCTTATGTCTACTGCGCTCTCGGAGTACAATAGAACAAAGAAGCATTTACCAATTGTGCTATTCTCGACAATAACTTGCTCTTCACGGTTCAGTTTCAATAGCAACAATGTGTATTGCCCCAAACCGTGATGTTGCTCAGACAAAACATATGTTTTCACCCCACACACGTACGTCTAAGTAATCGACGCGTTCTAATCGATCCTGATCGTTAATTTTCTTCTGTCGCTTCGGTCACTCGGTCCGAACTAAAATAAAAAAGTGGTTGTGATTACAAAGGTAAGCAAATATCAAACAATTTTGAGAGAGCGACACTTTAGAAAGCAGTAACTGAATTTGACGCAAGACGGTAACATATTTTCATTTTCAGAAATGGAAAAGTGATCGCAATCTGTTGACTTCAATTTCGAGAACTAAACAAAATTTACTTCTTTTCTGTACCCCATTGTATAAAGATGATTCATTAATACATAGTATTTATTATTCATTTACCGACCGTACACGAAACTGCCGAAGGGTAATTAATGTGTGAATAAAAATGATCTCGAAATGATTCCGTGTTTTACTAACGAAATATGCCGGCTTCGGTGATTTCCCTTTTTAATTCGTGAATTTAAAGTTGCACGAATTTGATGCGCGGAAGGAAATTTTGCATAGGAGAGTTGATAAAATCAATAAAGGCGCATTTTTACTTCTTCGGTAGTTCTAGCGAAAGAGAGGAGCGAGCGGCTGGCTTTTGCGTGATCGGTATCGATTTGGGACTTTCAGCTCTCCATTCTTTTTTCCGCCACGTCAGCCGAGCTAAGTATACTATACTCGATCTACGCAATCTTTCGGACCAGGGTTGCGAGTAATTAATTACTTTTAAAAGTAATTTCTGTCTTTAATTGACAATTAATTACAAACAATGTAATTAAAATTATTTAATTAAAATTGAATTAAGCAGAATTAATCGAAAGTCGTTTAATTGACGATTGATACGAGCAAATTTAATCAAAGGTATTTAATTGACGATTGCTTTGAGCAGAATTAACTCAAAGCCATTTAATTGACGATTGCTTTAAGCAGAATTAATTCAAAGCCATTTAATTGACTATTGCTTTAAGCAGAATTAATTCAAAGCCATTTAATTGACGATTGATTTAAGCAGAATTAATTCAAGCTATTTAATTGACGATTTGTTTATATCTTCAATGTTAAAAGACATTTATTGAATGAATTTGAATATTTTCAATATTGAATTGAAGCAATACGATTAATTATTGTGTATCAATGGTGCCGAAGGCTGAGGATAGATTAGACAATGCAGACGACTCTGACGTGAAGTCAGATAGTTGCAGGAATCGGTATCTCCCAGTAAAGGGTAACCGTAGGTTAGGGTGTTTGGTTGTTGGTTATTGGAGACAAATGCAGACGCCTCGGATGTTAAGTCAGATAGCTAGCAGGAATCGGTATCTCCCAGTAAAGGGTAACCGCAGGATGGGTTGAAATAGGGAATTCGGGTTCAATACACTGAGCTTAAATCGTATCGTTGATGAATACTACGCGTCGCGGATAAAGCCTCGCAACTTATTAATTTAATTGAATAATAAGTCGAGCGGCAAAGTTATTATATTGTGGGATCGTTACACAGGCTAGGATTGCTTGTTATATCGTGAAGGTTTAGTAATTGACTTAGGAAACTTTGAATTTACACAAAAGAATATATATATTCAGAATAACTATACTAAGTTACAAATGTGCCGTGTTGTTTTGTCGCGGTCGTGTGTAGTAAACGTTGAATTTAATTACCTAATTGTTGCACGGTGTTAACGCACTGGCGATGCGGGGGTCGAGTGTGATTCTAAATGCCGTAATAGATGAAAACCGTCTTCGCGGATCTATAAGGTTAACTTGATCGAAAGGGAAACTGAAGCCTGATCTCACTAAAGCACACTCTGCAACGATGGACGAGATGTGACTCTTCGTAACTCTATCGTTCTAATCCCCTGAGCAACGAAAATCGTGGGTTTATATACCCCTAAATGTTGGTGGAGATCCGTCGGTGATTTCCATATTTGGAAATCTGACGGTTAGGATTTTCGTAGCTCTGAGGTGAGCAGCTGCGTTCCCTGGGAAAGGGTAGATAAGAAGTCTTCCCACGCAACGCAAGTCGAAGATGATGTTAAGAGTATGCAGCTGCAGGATGCACTCCAGGGAGACCGAGCTCCAAATTCCAGGAGGGTAGATAAAATAAAATTGATGAACGCGAGCTTCGGAAACAAACAGCGAGTTTCTGTATACGTAACATTATATAAAATTTAACTAATTGTATAAGTAACACATATAAGGTTATTAGATGGATGCCAGATATATCCGGCACTCATACAGAAATGGTTATGCCGGTAATGCCAAATTAGCTGAACTGCTTTATGCTTTTAGTATATTACTTTAACTTATACTTATGGTATATATTTGTTTTATTTTGTTGTCATTGAATAAGAATACATATTTGTTCTCATTTACCTTATACATTATTTATTCATAGAATTACCTTAACAAGTACATTATTATATATACAAGCAACTCATTTTGATGAGGTTAATAGTATTTAGTATATTCCATTTGTCGCTACAAATTGGTTTATATATATGTTTATTTATATGTGTTACTTATATAATTAATTAAATTTTATATAAATGTCTTTTAACATTGAAGATATAAACAAATTTTCAATTAAATAGCTTGAATTAATTCTGCTTAAAGTAATGGTGAATTAAATGCCTTTGAATTAATTCTGCTTAAATCAATCGTCAATTAAATGGCTTTGAATTAATTCTGCTTAAAGTAATAGTCAATTAAATGGCTTTGAGTTAATTCTGCTCAAAGCAATCGTCAATTAAATGGCTTTGAGTTAATTCTGCTCAAAGCAATCGTCAATTAAATATCTTTGATTAAATTTGCTCATATCAATCGTCAATTAAATATCTTCGATTAAATTCGCTCATATCAATTGTCAATTAAACGACTTTCGATTAACTCTGCTTGATTCAATTTTAATTAAATAATTTTTAATTACATTTATTCAAAATATTGATTAATTAAGTTGATTGAATTAAATTTGTTTAAATCAATTATTTAATTAAAAAATTGTAATTGATTACTATTCAAACTCTGTTTCGCACGGAAAGAGGAGCATGTTATGCCAGTTTGACCTTTGCTTCTTAGTCAGTAATTTATTTTAAAATTATTTACAAAATTGTCTCGTTTCGTTTGGGAAAACGATAATCGGGTTAGGTCTTATTTCCCAAACACCGATACTTTCAATACGTTCGAAACCAAAAATGTTATCTTTTCTTTCAGGTAGCATGGCTGCGAGTGGACACGCAAACTATCTTGACAATAGCAAACCATGTGATTACAAAGAATCACAGGATCGGAGTTACGCGTACAGATCACAAAACGTGGTGCCTACACATACGCGAAGTGCGCAAATCTGATCGTGGTGCTTACATGTGCCAAATAAATACCGACCCGATGAAGAGTCAAACTGGATACCTGGAAGTTGTAGGTTGGTTCATTACATTCTACGTAAGCGAAAATAATAAATGTGCTATTGACACGTTGCCTTTAACACGTTCACGCCGGCATGTACCACTGGTGGCTCACGCTCGCTTGTGTATCAGATGGTGTGTACCACCGCGCCGTCCCATGGCGAGAAAAACATGTAGCAGCGCCGACGTGAACGTGTCAAAGAGACGTTATTATGAATTGAGTGTACGCTCTTCGGGTGTCATTGGCTACATTTGTTAGAGAGACGGCTGGCTTATCTTTAAGACAGACAACGGCGGAATAAACAAATAGGACTGCAGTAAAGTCTCCACAAATGCACAAATTTCTCTCCCATAAATGCTCTGAAACCATCCCCATCACTGCGAGGTATACCCCTTGGGGGGTCAAGGAGTTCGATCGCCGAGCAGTGTTTATATGATCGTATATTCTCTGATGTTTGCCGACGAGCTTCGAACGTAGAGAAGGAAAGGGAATAAAGAAGAGGACGAAGCGAATGCAACGATAAAACTTTTCTATTATTAAAAATTTTGTAATTTTGTAATAGTATTTTACAAAAAAGTTTTTCAACAAAACAATTAATAATAAAAAAAGTTTCACCGGTGCATTATATTGTCTCACCTACATATCTTGGTGTTTTCGCTCTCTCCTCTTCTTTTATTCGCTATTCTTCTGTACGTTCGAAGCTCGTCGGCAAACATCAGAGAATGTACGAAGTCTACCATAAACACAGTTCTGAGTTGGGCGTTTATGGGGACTTTGTTTTCTCTCCGTCCTCTTCCTTTATTCGCTGTGATTCTGTACATTCGAAGCTTGTAAACAAAAATTAGAGAATGCACGAACTCTACCATGAGTGCACCATTCAGTCCCGAGTTCGTCCATTGTATGGAGACTTTATGTTTTTACTCCGTCCTCTTCTGTATTCGTTGTCCTTCTCTACGTTTGATGCTTGTCGGCAAAACATCAGAGAATGTAGGAACTCTATCAAAAATGTACCAGTTCAGTCCGAGTTTTAGCACTTATGGAGACTTTACCGTATCTCGTCCCATAGACTGGTTAATTACGTATTGTCCAAGTATTCGAATAATCCTAATCTTAGCATACACATTATAACATCGTAATTGAACGATTAGTAACCGATAATTTTATTATTTTCAGTTCCACCAGATATTTTAGATTATCCGACAAGCACGGATATGATCATTAAAGAAGGTGATAATGTTACTCTGCGCTGCGCTGCTGTGGGATCGCCAACGCCAAACATCACCTGGAGGCGCGAAGATGGAGAAACCATCTATCTGGAAAATGGAAAAGAAGGTAAGGCATGTAAATTAAAATTCATCTTATATCTTATCGTATATCTTATACTACATATTATACAAAGAGACAGCGTTTGTTTGCATCTATACAATTTCAAGAACTACTTAACCGATTAATACCAAATTTTAACAGTAGCATCCTTGCTTTCTCTGGAGTAACATAGGCTACGTTATTTTCAGAAAAATTATATTACATTCGCGTAAAAATACGTAAGAATATGTTGAGCGCTGAGCGCTCTGAGCCTGTACACGCTACTCCCTAACTACCGCTCCCAACCGCTACGTAGCTGCATGTTCGTGCCTACTCAAAAGAGAACTAACAAAGTTTGCATGATGTGTACAAGTTCGTTTCGTCCGCTAACATGTAAAAAAAATTAACCATGTTGTGTATTCCAAAGTTCTATAATATCACATTGCATTGAATCCAAATCCTACGATTGTTTGTTTGTTCTTTATTATAGTGTTGTCCTGTCGGACAGTTTACATTTTTCCTGAGAATACAAAATATTTTTGTTACATGCTGATTTATATATTAATAAAACATATTATTCTTAATCTATAATTTCTTACACTTACTACTTCCTATCGCTATATTACACAACATCAAATCCTACGATTGATACACGGGCGAAGCCGTGACGAGGGATGGTAGTATTTTATAAAAATGAAGGTGAGAATTGTCGAAAGCATAGTTACAAATTTAATTACAGTTTAACGGTAGACATTTTCACTAAAGTTAAACGCTTGAATTTATTATTCTCGCGAGGTCAACGCGAATCTATTATTCGTTTTGATTCTGTTATTTGGTTGCTTTTAAAATACATTTTCAATTGTAAAGAGTTTATTAAGAAATGTATGTAACTACGAAGTGTATAGACTTACTATAAAATACAATTGGAACGGTTTTATGTTTTAGTGACTGAGAGTAGATATATGACGTAAACGGTAAAAGTTCTTTGGTGGCTGAGGGTAGACATACGACCGCAATGAAGTTAATCGTTACTCTTCTTAGAGTATTGATGCATCTTTGATTTAAACGTTAATTTAACGTTTTCATGAAACTTGTATGCTAAATTAAACTTCGATGCTAATTGAATTTCCTATTTCCTTGTAGTAAATATGAAACATAAATTCTAAGCTTTGAACATCGAACAGTTGGTCTGAATTGCTGATTGTCAGGTTTTTTAAACTTGTTTATTTGAATAAAAAGGATCACGTTCTATTTCAATAGGCGAATCAATAAGAATGTATACAATTTTTGTTCGAACCAGAAGAGAATTTTATTTCGTTCTGAAATGTCAATCGAACGAAATAGAAATAACTGACATTTGTTCACACGTAGATGCATCAGTTTGACTCTTCTTTCTATCAAAGCGTAACTGAATAATTCGTACAGATTGAAATACTGCATCGGTATAGATATCATTTTTCTACGGGGTTTTTAAACTGTTATTGTAGAAAAGTTCAACATGCATTGTCGGCTTCATAGACCATACGCGTTGGATGGCTCTCTACGGAAGCGGATCCAGAAGCTTTATTTGCCCAGAGATACAAACTATAGAAAAGTATTCTTTCAAATTTCTTTTTTGACAATCTGAGATTTATTAATAATTTAAATATGAACATGTCTGTTCGATGTATTAAATAGTCAAGTTCACGTTCACGTTTTATATGTATATTATACAAATATCAAATTGATATTATACATATCAAAATGAATATTATTTATAAACTATTAATGCCAAAATATTTTGTACTTTTCGAACAGTTATTTTCTGTAATAATTTGTTCTCGTTTAATTGTTGAAAGCTTCTTTTGAAGTGACATATTAGAAGAATAAGTAAAAACATAATTGCAACGAGTTAACTGACTTTAGTATCTCCACTTACGTACACACATGCCACAGTTCAGAACATCGCGAATTCATCTACCATGAAATGCAGAAGCCTCAATCGCAATCGGTTAATTCCTTGCCGAGTTACATCAAAGAATAGAAGTTTTTCAATAACAATTGTTATAAACATTAAAAAATTCAAAAATGCTTGGAAGAAAACACGCGAGATAACGCGCAGAAGAACCTCGACGCGGCCGCAGTAGGGGAGTCCGATCCTGGTACTGATTTCGACAGCGCTTGAGGATTGACATTCTGTACTGTAATTCTCCTTTCTATTGAATTTCTGACCTTTGCAAACTGCGTTCGAGCAAAGAGTAGACCATATATTCTCAATTGGATTCAAGTCAAAGCGGGCTATTCTGAAACTTGAATTCCATGGTCGATGAATCACTCTTTGGCAATGGCGTTGTGCATACCGTGTTTCACGCTTCGAAAAATATTTCCGACCTGCAAATGTTTACGCGAACTCAATAGAGAGTTAAGAAATATATGATGTACGATAGATGTGCAATGAAAATTTATGACCGACGGCTTTCAAACTTACTTAACGAGTAGGACGCGTGTTGCAGCAGTGGCGGTTGCAGCATGGGAACTTGTCGCTGCCCTACATCGTTGGTGTACCGATGATGTCAGAAAGAAATACACGCCTCCCTGTTTTGTATAGTAATACCAAGGAATATCATCGGCCTGATTCGCATACGCCGAGGCGCGATAAAGATTTATCATTCTTTTGTCTTCCACGCGTGTCCGATTGTTGCTCGTGCTCCGTGCTATGGTCTTCCATAGAGAACTGCCTAGCCTCGAGCAAGAGAAATCTCCCTCGCTGTTCGAATAACGCTGAAGATACTACATACACCCTCGTTCATAAATATGTGGACACTTACTACCTTCAATGAATAATTACTATACACTGTAAATCATTGCTATACGACTTTTGTTGCTAAATTCTATATTGGATGTGTATTCAATAACATTTAATAATATTAAATGTTTTGAGTACTATATTCAATTTTATAGTGATATTATACTATGGGATCGTTTAGATAGAAAAGTTCAGAAAGAATGTTCAATATATCAAAAACCTAGTTCAAAACATTACCTAGTTATATCTATAGTTTTTTTTATCAATAATACTGTGATATTAAAAAACACTATTAATAAAATATATTCGGTTATAGAACATAAACATATCGAAACATAAATGATATAATTGATACTAATAGATTCGCAACTTTTATTCGATATTTATTTCTATTAAGGAAGTGTCCACATACTTCTGAGCTGAGGTGTACATGAAATGTAAACGTCGTATCAAACTTTTTTTAATAGCCATCGTTTAACATCGAATCTTATTAATTATCGACTCTGTACTTTCATTTCGTCCAGTCTGTTCATCAAGAGTTGACACGCAAAATAATAGTAGTTGGAGGTAATTAATTAAAGTGGAAACAGGAATCGTATTGAGGGGTTCAATGGGTGGTTAGAGTTTAACTTGTATCCAGGTGATTACAGGCACGGTCAACAGGCGTTTCAATGACATAAATTGCTTTGTGCTGAGATTAAACGATTAGGTAGACAAAGTCAGAGTTCGATGAATCGAAAATTTAACCACAAACGACGGCCTTGATCACCTTTTAATTTTCCACCGCATACACATATTTCAGAAATCCTATTCCAAAGGATGTTTTAACGGTTAAATTTTAAACATTCTACGCAAAGTTTCTAAATTACAAACTAAAATGAAGGTTTAAAAATGAAGAACTGATCTGTAAGAAAGTAATAAATGCAATTTGTGATATATAGGGTGATTATGCATAATCCCCACTAAAGTTGGTAAATGTGATTAATTATGAAACATTTATCAAATTAACCGGCGATTTTATATAATCCCCAACTCGCAATGGGGAATGTGATAAAATTGTGAATACATATGCTGTCTATACGGAAATACTGTCTGAGTAGGTTTGGACATAATTTTGCAGACCTAACCCTAACCATACTTCAGCACTTCACGGTCTCCGGAACTAATGTACTCTTGAAACCTTAACACCGTCGCGAAACCGTACTTCGATGAAAACAGGGTCTAATAACGGCGTTTCCAGTCACTTTTTCATTGATGCGAGTTATCTATTAGGTTAGGGTTATATCTCCCTTTTAGACAGCTTGACGCACTCAAATTTTTGATCCGACGCACTTGTTAAATCTTTAAATGTTTCAACAATTTTGAGAATTTTAATTTAACATCCTTACAGCTGGTCACTTACCACGAGATCCTCCCAGGGTTTAAATAATAATCAATTACAATTTTTTAATTAAATAATTGATTTAAACAAATTTAATTCAATCAACTTAATTAATCAATATTTTGAATAAATGTAATTAAAAATTATTTAATTAAAATTGAATTAAGCAGAGTTAATCGAAAGTCGTTTAATTGACAATTGATATGAGCGAATTTAATCGAAGATATTTAATTGACGATTGATATGAGCAAATTTAATCGAAGATATGTAATTGACGATTACTTTAAGCAGAATTAATTGAAATCCATTTAATTGACGATTACTTTAAGCGGAATTAATTCAAGCTATTTAATTGACAATTTGTTTATATCTTCAATGTTAAAAGACATTTATATAAAATTCAATTAATTATAAATATGAGTAACACATATAAATAAACATATATATAAACCAATTTGTAGCCACAAATGCAATGTACTAAATACTATTAACCTCATCACAATGAGTTGCTTGTATATATAATAATGTATTTGTTGAGGTAATTCTATAAATAAGTAATTTATAACGTAAATAAGAACAAATATATATTCTTATTCAATGACGACAAAATAAAACAAATATATACCATAAGTATAAGTTAAAGTAATATACTAAAAGCATAAAGCAGTTCAGCTAATTTGGCATTACCGGCATAACCATTTCTGTATGAGCGCCGGATATATCTGGCATCCATCTAATAACCTTATATGTGTTACGTATACAATTAGTTAAATTTTATATAAATGTCTTTTAGCATTGAAGATATAAACAAACCGTCAATTAAATAGCTTGAATTAATTCTGCTTAAAGTAATCGTGAATTAAATGCCTTTGAATTAATTCTGCTGTTACGTACAGAGACTTCATTCTGTTTCGTTATTTCCATCAAACCTCTCCTCCGTGACATTTGCCCTTGCGAGCGGATGTGGCCGCGCTCCTTCGATAAAGTTTTTACTAAGAAACTAGGGCGCGTCGCGGGACTGATTTCCACGAAAAATAGGAGCTACGTGCATCTACGCATCTCCGCATACGGCAGCGTAGGATTCATAGAATCAATTCCCACTACCGATTTTTAACCGAATTCAGAATATATAAACCGATGCGTTTTGCATCTCGGAGGCTCATTTCTTGAGGACACGTTGAAATTACGTCGCGCTATATCTTAAATCGGCGAGGCAAGATCGGGATGAATCCCCTTATAGTAATCCAGAAGTATCAGACGCTGACACCGTGTTACCTCGTCGCAAGATCGGGAAGAATCCCCTTCGAACATAGTCTTGAAACGTTTTGGTAAATACTTGTTCAATTGTAAACGTGACCCCCGCATTTCAACTCGGTGCGTAACCTTGAGAGTAGGAATTAGTTTCCGCGATATATACAGAAAACATTTGTATAGTCCTAATTAAACCTTTGAATACATACATAGTTTAGTAGAGTAATCCTAACTATTTTCTTTGAGTACCTATCTTATTGAATTATTCAATTAAGGAGACTTAAAAATTATTAAATTAAAAATTTGGTCCAAACCTACTGGGGATTATATAAAATCATCGGTTAATTTGATAAATATTTCATAATTTATCACATTTACCAACTTCAGTGTTTCATAATCTCCGGTGATTAGGCATAATCCCCAGTTTATTACATTTACGATAACATATACGTTTCTTTAATAAAACGTACAGAATTCAGTGAACAATTCGCTTCCATTTTCCTCCAATTTATATCTCTGTTTCGTGCTATAATTTTACTTGGACATATAATCAGACTATAAACACTATAGGAGAATATAATCAAGCGTTCTCCTAGTAAATCTTCGTGAGCAAGAAATCCTCGACAAGCGGTATGTCCATAATACATTTCTCTATATCTACGTTCATAGTATGAAATGCTTACTTGGATTAAACACGCCAACAAAAAGCAAGGAATTTTCGCGATATCGATGGCGTAGGAACAAACAAACGGCTTGATTAGTGAATATTAATTTCGACCACCCTATTGCGAATCTTTTGTGATACAAATCAACGCCACAGTTTTGCAAATAATTAATAATCAAGAGAAAACAAATATGCAACTATTAGGTATGAATAAAAGTGTTTTTGTTTATGCAATCATGGGTGTGAGGTTTCGTATATTTTGAGTACCTTTCGATTGAATTTCCTTTTTCGTATGGTACAGGACACGCGTACGATATATTGTATGAAATGCGTCATTCTAGACAATCGATCATTTATAAATTCGTCTCTTGTACAGTTATATATCATGTTTTTTATCTCTAATTCTGTTGCAGTGCGAAATATAGACGGATCAGTCTTCAATATCACGAAGGTAAATCGACTCCACATGGGTGCATATTTGTGCATCGCATCCAATGGCGTACCCCCCACCGTCAGTAAAAGAATTATGCTCATAGTACACTGTGAGTATCCTACTTCTATAGCGTCTCGTAGTATTGCTCACGTGATAACTGTAAATATTTTTGTGACTAACTGTAGCTAGATGAAATTTTTATCTAACCTAAATTGAATTCCTTTCGTTTACCGCGACTTTCCAGTTTCTCCAATGATATATATACAGAACCAATTAGTAGAAGCACAGGAGGGACAAAATATGACTCTGGAGTGTAATTCGGAAGCGTTTCCGGTATCAATTAATTATTGGACGAAGGAAAACAACGGAATAGAAACCACTGGTATTTGAAATTTGATATCGTGCACTTATAGTTATTTAAACAAGGAATGTATATTCGTTTGTATAGTTGGTTAACCAGTTAACTATATTGAAATATTTAAAAAGAGTATACTATCAGATCGGAACAGTAAGCAATGCCTAAAAAGCACACAGAGAAAAATGCATACATATGTGGTTACTACTGCTAACCACAAATTTTAAATTAATTTTTTAAGTGCCTACTGGTTTTTAGTAAAAACCATATAGTGGAACATGTGTTGCCTATGTCCTGGAGGATAATTAAAACATCTTGTTGACATTTCCTTCCTATGAGTCAATTATCGTATACACAAGTTTCTTAAAATCACAATTAAAAACACGAATGAAATTGATTGCACGCGTTAGATAATAATGGATCTATTCGCATTCCAACGATGTATGACGGTGATAATATTTCAATGATAAATTATGATCCCTTAATTAATTGCAAAGCAGAGTTTAACAACAAAATTATCAGCATCGAATATTATTATCAAAAACACTGCTTGTTTAATTAAAATTGATTGCACTAATATGAATGTTTTTTATATGCATGCGTGTCTTCAATGATTCTTCGCTTGAAAGTTATTTTTAGATTGCATTATTTGATATTTGAAGCTTAGAGTTTTCGCGTCAAGAATGACAAAAATATTTACTGAAAATTTATTTAGTGAAAATAATGATTAAAAGTTATATTTGATACTCTATTCAAAAATTAGATATGCTCACATATAAAAATACAATTAACATTTACTATTGCATTTACTATAAGTTTTGTTGAAGCGTAGACATACCGTTACTTTGAAAAATCTTTATGCTTGTGACGCTTTTATGGCAAACCATTTAGAACCTTTTTTATTTTTGCTCCAATTTTAATGATAGTTCGTTTTGTCGCGTATGAGGTTAAAGTTGAAAGGGAAACAACCAACTAGAATTGCTAGAATTAACTAGTAATAATAATTAATAACTAATGTTTTCATTATTGGGAATCGTGATTATCGTTCACATAAGTGGATACCAAAGAGTAAATTCAAACGAAAGCTACGGATACTTTCTTACGGAACAGACGGTTATTCTGTTTCAACGCGTTGCGTGCGTCCTGGGTATTCACATTCGTTCTTTGGTATACAGCCAGCATAAGACGAATGGAGACACGATTTATGGGCCCGTTTCATACAACAGACAATTTACTGTGCAACATCGACGCGGGTACCGCGCAACTGTCCTCACAGGCACGGGTACATCCCCTAATATTGTTCATGCATGGCTTTATCGATGAGAAAATACGTAAGAATAAACCTTCTTATAACGCAAAAGAACAGAGTTACACAGAGGGGAATTCAGGTATCTACCTCGGTGCATCGAATAACGAAGAAGAGCTAGATATTATTATCGTCGCTCCTCTGATTTGGGCTAATTGAGAAGGGTCGGGACAGGGAAGATGGATTAAACACAGCAGACACCGAATACTGCTATATTTAGAGATTTTGGTATTATACCGGTATCTGTTTTGATGTTACTTTGACATACCGGTATTTGGTAAACCCTTTTTTATACCGGTATTAAACCTTCAATACCGGTAATTTCATATGTACTTTACAAGTATCTCCCGTCCATACCCCAAAATCAATTTCAATTTCCCACAAAAATCTTTTGTGTGAAATTGTAGTTTCTTAACTTCTTTTTTTGTAATCAATGATATTTTACATATCCTCGGAAGTCTCTAAGGCAGACATAGTCCAAACAACATTTACTAGTTAATATAATTTGTGAAATTAACAAAAAAATGCGAAAAGTGGGTGAAAGTATAGAAGCAATAAATATTTGTACTATTCTTATGACGAACCATTTACAATAGAGTTTGTAACGTAAACATATTAGTTTATTGCTCCGTACGAATTAGAAAACATCAAATTTCCAGTAAAGTACTTTTAAACAGTTGTGCAAATACTTATTGCTTCAACATTTCTATCGATTAATTGTTTTTTTCTTGTTAATTTCGCAACTTACATAAATAGCTATTTTTTTTGTAATCTATCTATTCTAGAGATTACGGAGAATATGTAGAATGTCATTGTTTATAAAAAATAAGTTAATAAATTACAATTTTACACAGTCTTTTTGGAAATTGATCGGTGTACGAATACTTTCTACACCCACTGTATGTCAAAATTAAATATCGTTTCATACTCGGTATGATCGATTTGATAATTGTATATTTCAGATTGTTTATAATAAGCGTTGTTAGTTTGTTTTTCATATCATTGATTTGCTGCTCCTTGCCAGACGTGTCGTGTTAATATTATAAAGACAAGTCGTTCTTGTGTTAATAATATTTCTAAATAAATAACTTATCATTTATTAATGTAAAGTGTACAGTTTAATAAGTGACATAATCTAATAAATATAATACCGATAATACTACGAAGAATACAGTATAGAATTTTATTTATTGAACTGATTCAAAAACCTTTACGATTATTACTCAAATGCGTTTGTAAATTTGTTCCGTGCTTACCTTTTACGATATGTGCAGAATTATTGATAATACAGTCAGATGTATTAGTTAAAACATGGTGTTGAAAATATTGGTAAACTGGATTTGTTGCTTTCCTTCCCATATTAATGCAAGACAAATTCACATATAGGCTTAATACCTTAATTTAATAATCTAACTTCAATAGTAAATATCTAATGCAAAGTCAAATAAAGTAGATGCGAAAAAATACGAATAGAATTATCACTTGTCGACGGAAGACACGAATCGTCTTTCGTTAAAAATTTATTATATGGTAATGTACACTAACCACAAGGTAATTGCGTATACCTTTATCATCTATAATGTATAATTTAACATAATGGAAAGCAACCGAACTGATATTTTGATAATTTACGAAGATATATATAAACAAATCCAGGAAAACTATAGTATCCGAATATTAAAGTGAGTAACTGTAGGTATGATACCGAAATACGTCTATGCCGGTATAATGTTATTCAATAACATTATACCGGTATTCGTAGTATTTGGTTTCTTTTCGAGTAATAGAATAACTACCTAAAAATATCGATATTTTACCGGTATTTGTAATACCGATTCAAACTCTGAAACACAATTCACAGTTAGCGGTTTTCGGTCCTCAGTGCTATATGAGAATAGCCTTGGAGTACTTGGGCGCTCTGCGCGATATTACGCTAATTATCCTTACCAGCATTGGAGCATTTAATAAAGGCTTGAATTGAACAGTAACTGATACCATATTCTGACACCATAAAATCATGTGTGGTTAGATAAACTTACTCTAGACATATAAGAGTAGATTACTATAATTACGTTGGCATTAGATTTTCAAAACATTATTTTTGTCGAATAAAATAATCTGGATTTCATACAAATCGCATGCAGTTTTCTTTGTTCAATTTTCAATTTGCATATATCAAACTTTTACCGATGATCCGATGTCACACTAACATATGAGCCGTTCATTACGCAAATCGATTAACTTCATAAAACAAAAAGTTTAGAAATGCGATAAAATAATATACATTGTTTTCTGAAATAAATTATTTATTATTCAATGGCCAAAAAAATTTTGTCGGTTAATGATGTTTATCTTTATCATTAAGGAAAGTTATTTTTAAAGTTAATTTTTGAGGTCAGGAAATCGTATTTGTGTATATATTTTGTATATATTAATTAAAGAAAAATGAAATTACAATATTTGTAAGAAACAAAATATATTATAACTGTAGAAGAATATATGAGCAAATTAAAGAAATAAGTTTTATATATATTACATGTGGCACACACAAGAAAAACGAAACAGAGAGAGAAAGTATTCCATATTCTTTCAGTAGGTGGCAGCCTAGCATACCATTAATCTGTAATATAATAAGGCGCGTAATTACCAAAATACCAAGTGCTTTGACACTTTTTAAGATTTTTCAAAAATTGGAGTTAATCGATTCGTGCAGTGAACGGCTCATATATCCGTATCGAAGATCCTTTCATTTTGTGCTAAAGAAAGCATTTTGTACTGCAGAAAGTATTAATTAAAAGCAATGAATTCTACGCGGGTAACAGTAATTTGACGAAATTAAGTAAAAGGTTGCCCGACTGCATTTCGAGATTCACACATAGACGCGACAGTACTTTCGCATTTCCATGCTTGTAATGGACGTGTTGCTGGCTTGCTAATTCACTGAAGAGCGATTGAACCGTACTAGCCAACATAGTTAACGCTGTTTTATTAACGAGTGTACGCACAGTACACGACACATATGTACCGTACATTACCGAAACGGTCTAACAACGTCCCAATCGGATACACGGACATGCATGGAGCAATAATTACTTCGAATAATGAGACTTTAGTACTAAACTTTTCACGTGCGAGAATTGTTTACAGAATATTTTAGCATCCTGCTGTAATGTGTTCCATTGTAAGCCGAATTGTGTTACGACGACTTAAACATTGCTGCACTAGTTGACTAAAATTTTTATTATTTTATAGAATTACAAAACAAAAGAGTGATCTCTTTGAGTATAAAATAATTTATGAAAAAAAAATATAACCGACTTTAAAAAATATTAAATCTGCACTAAAAAGTATGAAATAATTTGTATTTCCCTTATATTAAATTATATTAAATAACCTTTTCGGAGGCGGCGCAAAATAAATAATTTTTAATTTTTAATCTCTACCAGATGCAAGAGGTTTCATTCCGATTGGTCAAGCCGTCTCGACGTAATCGGTAAACAAACATAAAAGAGAAATATATATACATGTCGAATTGAGTAACCTCCTCCTTTTCGAAGTCGGTTAAAAACGGAAAGTAATGCTCGACGGTAAAATAAATCTGTAACGAAACACCGTACTTTCTGATGTTCCTAATGGCCAATTAGTGTACATATCTAGCTTACAATCGAATAGTCCATTAGTGCTGCAGTAAAATTAATTATCGCGTTGACTGGCGTGGTGG